TACTACACGTTCGTCGCTGCGGGCCACGAGGCGCCTCTCTCTCCTCTCTTCTCGCTTAAAAAGTATTTAAATCTTAAAAAGGGTCGGTGGCTGAGGAGCGAGAAAGTCCGCGATGGGCTCTCGGTGAGCCGGGTGAACGAACGGTGTCGAGCAAGCGAAGCGAGTAAGCATGAACGAGCCAGTCTTTCTTTCTCCTGTTTCGCACATGCAATCCGAGCTTGAAATAGGTCATTGCGCACAATTGCTACGCAGAGCGCGAAAAAATTCTGCGATCTAAAGATTCGGGGATGGACATTCGCGATGATTTTTTTTATGTTTTTCATTTTGCGGAGAATAAGATCAACTCTTTCTTGTCACTCGGATCGCTCGATTTGTGATTAAGTGCATTTTGATTTTCGCCGTTTCTTTTTCGCATTTCCTTTTTTTGTTGTATTTGCGATTTTTGCGACCCGGTTCTCGCTGCCTCGAGATTTTTGATTGAGTGGTTCGATTACTGGATGAAATTTGGCACAGTGATTATTGTTGAGCGTCTTCCTCGCTTTCGTCGAAAACGCTCGTGCGAGAACGATTTTATCGATACGATCGAGGGAGGTAGTTCTTCTTCACGATCAACGCGCCGTTTGATTGTTGACAAAAGGCCGATGTTCGGTAAGCAGTAAGAAAGTAGTAAGCATCGACATTGAGTTCTCGTGAGAAAGCGTATCCCTTGATCGTAATTTTCGCTTTGGTTTCTTAAGCGCATCGTCATTTGCCGCCGAATCTTCGCGAGATACAAGGGGAGCGGATATAAGTACGCAAATTCAAGCATCAATACCGTGAAAATCATTGTCACAGCTTTTTAGTAACAGTGGTCGGTATATTGAGACACGTCACCATACGTCTGGAAGCCACCGCAATAACGATAACAATAATTACGGGATTGTTTAATTATACATTTAACATACAATCAAATTAGACTCGCTGTACTTGCGCTAGCAATTAATTAGTGACAAGTTGTCGGAAGTACTGGCGCCGCTTTTGTGTTTGGGCTTCGCGATATAGATTTGGCTCACACCGCTGTAAATCGCCGTCTCACCTCACCGAATGACGTAGAAAATGCGCCTCGGTAACAGTGATTTCTCAATGTAATCGCGCAAAGTTATACATATAAAGCGCATCTTCGTGAATGTCAATCAACGCTTGTACAACTGAATCCTCGTTACAGCACCGATTGCACAGGAGATCATTTAGGAAGAAGGTATAAGAGTAATCGTTAACAATACAAGAGCAACACAAACGAGCTGACGTGGATACCAGCGCCGATTTATTAGTTTGGAAAATTTTATATATATATGTGCATGAAATGTTATACAATTCCACATATCTCGCAATACTCGTGAAAGAGAGGAATGACCGCATCGTGTAGGAATTCAAAGCTGCGATTGCGCTTCGAATTGTTTGCTGAGAGATTGTGAGACTGCGTTGATTTTTCGTTTCGTGGGTCGACGCGCGATTATCGTGTTGCATAATGCACGAAATGCATAATCCACGCTCGTATCCACTGTCGCCCGTGCGACAAAGGTTTCACATTATACTCTATCTAGACGAAAAAACATCATTATGACGGGATCTAACACGTTCAGGGCCTTCTCTACTCCTGCACCTTATAAATTAATACTTTCCGTAAGCATTCACACCCGCGATCAGTGGCACAACTCGCATTTAAAGGACTAACTAACGGAGGATTGTCTGCTTAGGGTCTTTTCCATCCACGATCAATGCATCCATGAGGCGAAATGCCGTACGGCGTTAATTGAGAGTTTCACCATAGTGCTCGCCGATATCAATTATAGATTATTAATTTGCAAATTACCTATAGGAGACAGTATATTAGCACCTTATTCAGTATTATCTTTAACCGAGCTTTTGGCACGAACTTCTGTATACGCATTAATTATTATCTCGTTATTACTCTGACGGGAATCAATTTCTTGTGAAAATACTTTGGAGAACTACTGAGAGAAATTCTTTTTTATCTTGTAATTTTATTTTTTTTTTTTTTTTTGGATTCTATACCATTTCTCTCGCGAACATTCCTGACAATTACTGGCGTCTGCAACAATAATATGCCACTGCAGAAACTTAAACACGCGATTATGCGGCCACTTGCAAATTCATTAATCAAAACCGACACAACAATATTGCGAGACGGTTTCCTCGTGCGTCATGGATGCAGAGCTCCCTCGGCCACGACACTTTTGCTATCTATCGAAACCTACTATTTACATCAATTCCTTGTAGACATAGCTAGCGTTTTACAGTTGAGAGATATACGTTAAGTGTAGAATCGCTGGAAAGAAACGCACACGCACTCGATCATCTCGCGCTCGGCTGTCTCGTCCCATTCGCACGTAACACTCGCGACTATATTTTTTTTTGTTGTTGCTCTACCACTTTGCCCCTTATCACAACACCAAACAGTGCCCACTTTGAATGAAAGAGAGGCCCCGTACGGAGGCCTTGGCTGCGCTACGGCAGAAGTATCTCTACTAACAACCGTTGTTAGGATAATGGGTAGTTTCTTACTTGTCCCCGCTGTCGAATTCGCAAGCATATTTCATCCCGGTGACACACCGCCAAATATTCTCATCTCGCTTACGTTATTTCCGTGATTAAATTTTCAGTGGAAGGATATATGCGATCATGTCTTCGACATGGATTTATCTTAAGGCCATTTTCACCGCTCGAAGATTTTATTTTATTTCAAAGTTATTAATATATTCACCATATAAGAATTAATATATTTTGCAATATTTTTGTATTTTATTAATTTTCATCGAATTGTTAGTAAAAATTTTTGTAGTAGTTATTTGTACTTACAATTGTTTTATGGATAATAATGTTTGCTAATTACTATTATTGAAATATAAGTCGCGTTATTGACATCACGGAAATTATGAAAGCTAAATGAGATTGCAGGTGCACCTCCTAGATTGTATGGATTCAGATATTCTTTTTTTACGATTTCATAATGAAAACAAGGTGGGATAGAAATCGGTTTTTTCTGGAATTATTGCCTGGGTTTTTGTGGAAGGTGGAAGTGGAAATTTAACTTCGTTAACTTTAATATCTCGCCGGTGCGTTGCAAAATCAACGAGATAATTTCCTTAATAATCGAAGAATTGTATTATACAAGATCTAGGCAGTGAGGAAAGCGAGATAACCAGTTAGTAAAATCGAACGTGTGATCGAAAATTGGATTTGCAGAACCAGGTACACGTGTTGGCTATCGTCAGTTTTGGCACAATATTAGCTTACTGCTTGATAATAATCGATAACGAGAATAGGACGACAAGAAGTACAGACACTTCTCATAAATATATTACAAATTAATGTCCGTTTTCTAAGCAATTGGCAATCTGAAAAGAAGGCGATAATAATATAGCTGAACGATATCGTTATACATTTAAATTTTGTGAATTAGCTAAATAAATTATAACACAATCAATATATTTTCACGGAACATTGTGTATTAGATTCGTTGAATTTGCAACGCAGAGTATTGGGAATCGAACGGATGGGATATCCATCAGGTATCGCTTGTTCTTTCCTTTTCCGTTTTCAGTTAAAAATAAAGGAATCCCTCCCTCGTCTTCCACCGAAAAAACACGCTTACATTTGCGTAAGCTGATATTGACAAGTTCCTCATCCCTCGCCTTTTCGTCTTTCTCGCTCTCGTTTTCACTTCCCCTAATATCGTAGTTAAAAGTCAACGATTAGTTACCAGAACACAAGGCACTTGGCTTACACATCATACATGTCTTTTTTTTTGTTATTAATTTGCTTTTTTGGTATAGCTCGGTGTTGAGATAGCTGGCGCAAGACGCGCCGCGGGGGACAACATAGATATTAAAGATATTGAAGAGCAATAATCTCTCGCGAGATAGTGTACCGTATTCGTCAAATCGATTCAAACTTTCGGAAAATGTATGAGGCGGCAATGAAATCTTTTGAGGACATACGTTTATAGTTGAATGAAGCACAGCGTTACGTAGTAAATTTACGAAGAATTGTCTTCTACACTTCCCTATTAAAATATCAATTAACATAGTCTTAAAACATTCGTTTACACTACGTCAGATAAATTATTCTGCTCTCACGAGAAAGAAGCTGGAAAGGTTCGATTCTAGAATCTCATGTGGATCATGTTTGTATCACGCGTCTCATCACGGATCCGCGGTGCGTCTTCCGACGTACAATGAAAATAGCACTCACCTCACATACGCAATATTCATAGAAGAAAATAGTCATATATATGTATGTGTCGTCGTACATATAATATATATACTATCTATGCAATGCAGTAATAATATATATAATATATATTTACTTTATATTTATATATATATATATATATATATTCAGTATTTGTCTTAATATATATTCATTTATAAACGACGGTTAGATTATTCAATTACACATCTCAGTATTAAAACCCCTGTTCCTTTCGCTCTCTCTCTCTCACACACATACATACGCGCGCAAACATGCAGACCAACTCGTGCACGCGGACATTTTCGCATTCCTATCCCATCAGTAGTAGTAGAGTTTAATGGTACACTTAATGCTCATGCTGTCGTGAGGCAGGATTTTCGGTATTTCCTCTTGCGCCCTGTTTTTTCTCTTTTTTTTTTAACACGGATCGCTGGACAGGGCCGATCCGATCGGCCAAAAGCTTATATACGTCTATATACGTTAACATGTATCGTCGATCTACGCAGAATGTATTTTTTTTTTTAAACCTTTTTCCCTTTGATTCTCGTTTCTCGTTTCCTCTTTGATTTACGCTATCTATCGACAGCGACTGTGGCGCAAATCGGTCAGTGGTGCTTCTCGATGCGTTTCGCGTGATAATTTCTCGATTTCGTTTTTTTTCCCGTTCGCGCGTATACTCTCGAAAACTGGATCGCGAGTTATTAAATCGCCGTTTCTCTTCTCTCTTCTTTTCTCTTTTCTTTTTGTTTCTTTGTGACTGTGTATTCGGCTTTGTGCTCTTTTTCTCTATCTCTCTCTTTTTCTCTCCGTAATCGTCGCTGATCTGTGTGTACCGAAGTCCCGCTACTCACGATTCAGAAGAAGCCATGGGGTTTCCGTATTTTTTCTCTTTTTTTTTTTTAACGAACAACATCGACATTTAACGCAGCAAGTACGGGCCGCTTCGGCCCCTCTGACTCTCTGTACACCACACATACTCAGTTTTGTATATATATATAAATATATATTGAGCGTACGTATATGTGTGTACGCAGCGATACATACATGCACGTACGCTACCATCTGAGTTAATATGCATGTATGTGTATAATAGTAATATCGCCTCTTCTGTATTCAATATATATACATATATATGTATATATTAAATAAAATGGTATGTATATATGTATGCGCAATGTAATCACTAGTTTAATGTATATAAGTATCGCTTCAATGTAATACTGATGCACAGATGTTCGTTGACCTGGCTAAGCCGTTTGATTTGCAGTTAGCTCCTACAATCGGACTTAATCCCGATAACTCGAGTCCGTTTCTCGCTTTTTATCTCGCACCTCTTTTTCTCACGCTTCGCCAGACTACTCGCGAACGCGGCTTCTACCCGGATAAAGAGGAATCGAAAATTCTACGCGCAATCATTTGACAAAATAATTGAGTAGCAGTACTCACAAGGAATTCGCTCTCTTTCCCTTCGAAAACAATTTCTCAATGTCCCAAATACACCGAAGCTATGTTGCTCGTCGAAGAAATTAACATTTATCGAAGCTTTGAACTCACATAAGAGGATTACGAATCGATTAAATTCTATTAGATTGAGGAATCGATAGAAACGGAGAAGTCGATTGTACAGATCGTTGAATTCGCGACAATGTAAAAGTTATTGGCGGAGAGACACCTTTATATAAACTGTGCGATTTCATTAAAATTTCGTGTGCGCCTCTTCCTTCGTTAGGCTTACGCAAGAGAGAATTCTCGAATTCCTCGCATTCGCAAATAATCCGCCGCGTCGTTTCTTCGTCGACGAAGACTAATGTGACGGAGTTGCATCTTCGTGGGGGGGTTCTGGAGGCCTCCTTTGGGGTTTCCTCTTCTCTTTGTCAACGGATCTGTCTCTTCCTTTCTCTCTCGCTTCGTTAAGTGTGGTATCATTTTGATAGGCTCCAGATTAAATTAGGTTTTTGTCGGTAACTCGATACCACATCGCACTTGAAATTGACTGAACTGTGCTTAATTATGTAAACAACGCACTGCAGTTTTCCGCCAAGAGCCAATTGCGAGAGCATCTGCGGTAAAAAAAAAACTCTGAAGAAGAAGTCTTATGAATTGTAATATAATTAATTGCAGAAATCAATTATATCTAAAGATTTAAGATAACTTTATGCGCGGATAACTTCGGAATATTTTACAAACGCAATTTCACCGAAAAAACCTCGCCGATCGAAAGCGAATGAAATTGAGAACTCTCGCGATCACTCGTGGAGGACAATCGCAAGGCGTTTCGTTATCGAGCTTTTTGAAAGCAGAACTTAGCCGGCCAGCTGTAGTTAGTCCACGCGTAACTATAACACATTTAATAATATATTGTCCATATTGCTTATGGCACCAACTTTTGAGCGATTTTATTACACAGTCCGGATACGAGAGATAATTATATGTTGCTTCGTCCGAGCCCGCGTCTCTTTGAGCAAGACAAGAATCTGATTAAGTGATTAGGTTTCAAGTAGCTAAGATAATGTGGATTCTAAATGTATAGGTATATTTTATAGGTAATATCTAGTTGAGCAGAGAGAGATGAGAAAACAACGATAGTACAAACGCGCCGCTTGAATATATTGCTACCGAGCACATGCTTCTCTTTCATTCTATTAAAATTATTGCGATAATTTATATGAGCAAGGGGGAAAGTGTGTTGCGTGAATATTTTTTTATTCCGATGGCTTTTACTCCCGTCCCGTATTTTACTTGGCATATAAACTAAGCTATAACAATCTAATCATTAAATTATATATTTGAGTATAATAATAGAAATGAGTCTTAGATACTTTTTAGATTAGAGGATTTACGTGGAGAGATTAACATTTACGTATTTAATATGATACGGAAAATGTAAAGTCGTGAGTTTATGCAATTGTATGTAATTGTCAGAACTCGCGTTACCTCACGATGTAAACGCATCCCATTATCTTTTTATAATCGTAATATCTGTTCTCGTATAAACCTCGATGTGACACTTGCGTGGCACCTCTACAGCTGACCATGTTCTAGTACATTAAAAACACTATTAACAATACGTTCTGTAGTAAAAGTTAATAGAGAATAGTATAACATCAAATAGAAGAGTATAAAGAACCATGCTGGTGTATAGAGATAGACATTAAAGTAGGTAATAGGTAAGAGGACGATAGATTACAATATTAATAATCCGTAATAACTTTTTCACTTATTAAGAGTAATTTTGCATAAACGTTGATGATCATTTAGTAGACTTTTTTTCTCTTTAATACAATATTTTGAGCACATTCCTCAGGTGTATAACCACGCTACACTTTCTTCATCGAGTTGTACCAATATATTCCACAACTTATTAAACTCTACCAGTACTAAATTATTTAACGATTATCAAGAGCTTCGTCAACGTACGAGCCATGGCGTGCACTGAACATTCTGTAGGAAATATTGCGCGAAATTTACTTAAATAAGAGAATAAGTAGTACAATAGTCGCTATTATATAATAGTCATTATTCAAATAATGAATAAATTATCGATAATAATGAAATTAACTTAACATATCAAAAACATTACTAACAATTCTGCAACTATATGCTAGGAAACGATGATACGTCTATAAGTATTCGTTGCCGAAAAAAGATGTCTAACTTTCTTTTTTGTACATATTGCTCGATTATTATGTGCTTTTACTTCCCTCCAATCGTAATTCCAATTATTTAATATGTGAATTGTGTGAATTTGCAATATGATTTACAACTGCGAATGCAGGAATCAGTAAACGTTTTTAATCATCAATATATTAGTACAGTAATGTAGTAAAGGGTAGTCGTCTATAATAGAAACAAGCACGAAATTATTAATCACGATTAATGTCTTTTGTCAGCTTGTTATCGGATTTCGAAAATAAACGTAAATAAATATTTCAACGAATTAAACACGTGATGTCAGCACATAATCTAGACGTGTCGTGACATCAACTTAAACAGGAGTAATATAATAACAACAGAATGGTAATTTTCGACGTGAATAAACTGCTCATACAATAAAATGTAAAATATGAAACAACAAAACTCTGTTTAATAATTGTCGATGAGTGCAAAATGCTCCATTTGCACAGCCATTAAGTTAAGTATTAGTTGGTAACTTCAAGTTAATCGTCTAATCACATACACGTACGAGAGCACAAAAAACGAAAATGATATCGTATAGATTTGTCGATGATTAGTTCAGATCCATTCACTCGATGTCATCGCTATTCGATTTATGGCAGTACAATATCGGTACAACTCACTAGTTGATGGCACGGGTCCGCCTATGTACAAATATGTAATACCATATACCACATATCATTTAAATACATCACATAGTTATCATTTTGTTATATATATATTCTTCATATAGATATATCATTTTTTTTTCTGTGACGTGGAGGGACTCGTTTGTACAATTCATGCATATCTTCGTTACTGTTTCATTGCTTCGTTTCATGCCTTTCCCACATTCTGAGTAAATAGCCTCCAGTACTGTGTGTTTTGTATTGCTACTGTTCTAAATCCAGAGTACAATTTGTTTTTTTAACATAAAAAAAGTCTATCGAACTTAAAACTCTTAATTCCAGTTTTTATTCTATAAAATTTATGTGTAGACTCGAATTCACTTTAGAATTTTGGAAAAAACACAAAAAATTATTTTATCGGACTGTAGAAAAAACTCATTGCTGCAATTATTAGACAAAAACTTCTGGATTTGATCAGCCAATACGTATTATCTCTTCGTTTTATTACTACCTATGATCTTTCTCTTGAAGCTCTAAGTTCAGATTAAGAGTTAGATTACGTACAATAATAATTATATTAGTAGAAACTTAGTTTCTGTAACAAGTGTATTGTCTTAAATGATATGTCTGCTAATTTTGTTGTATTCGACCTATGCACCGAGCCTGTGGTCGGAATTCATAACAATTTTATTCCTTAAAAAACTAACTGAACTAACTTTAAGATTCGAAATTCTAGAATCTTATAGTATAGTGTATCGATCTCTAATACTACACTCTTTTTACTCCTGTACTGGAGGCCATTACTCAGCCGTTACAGAATCATTTAGTTTGGCTACAAAGGAGTATTTCCATGGGCTTAAAAATTATCACACAAACATTTATAAATATAATATTATAATATCATGAATATATCGGAAGAATTAAAATTGTTTATTATTACGAAAATTTGATCAGTTTGTCCTCTTATATTGTGTATAATTATTATAGGCCGGTAAATTTAGCAAGGATGACAAATGAAATCTAAATCTCGAATAACATCATGTGAATATTAAGTTAGTGCCCTTGGTGATACCCCCTCATATTAATCTCTTGTCTGTAAATAAATAGATAATGCAGATGTTGTGGCCGGAATATTTGATGTTTAGTTTGCATTACATTTTTGTAAATCGGGGAGAAGATCAATGAGATACACACATAAAGATAGAATAAACACTAAAGTACAGAATACTGAATATCTAATGTCTTCTAAGAGAAGATATTTCCCATTTCCGACAATTAGACTTTCATTTACAATCATAGTTTTTACTTTGAAATAAATGGAAGATTTATAGAGCCATCTTTATTTATGAAGACTTGGCAGATTTTTTTAAAGTGTCCTCAGTCATTTTGCGTTTATTTGAGAAAAGTTTCAAAAGTTAAAGTGTACATTGTGTGTGTGTGTATGTGCGCGATTCATTCAATGGTAAAAGTTAATAAGAAGAAGAATGTTAACAATAACAATGTTCTCAAGATAGAATCAGAGCATCTACGATTGGCAATTCTCTTGAATAACAATTTAGAGTTTCAATATAAATGAAACTTGATATATAAATATATTTTAATCTTTTATAAAATTTAGTATATTTATTATATTTGTCGTAATAAAATGCACGCTGTTTTTGTTCTAAATGTACTGAATGATTGTGTGTGAGAGGGATGTTCCTATATATATACTATATAAATACATGAACACAACTAAAGATAAATTCTCTGGAATTAAAATAGCTAAGCGTGCCCGAAAATTGGAAGACGTAAATTATGAAATCTTTGTCAGAATCATATTAATATCTTTCACAAAGAATAGAAAAAAAAATAGATAAATGCTTTTCAAGGTATAGTTATCATTTTGATTTCTTTGTTCTTAATTTTATGGATGTTGGTTTAATTAAAAAAATAACGTTAATCGAAGGAATTTCATAGTTCATTGCATCACATCGAGGTATATATAAGAGAAAAGTAAACTTTTTTGATTGCTTAAGGCACCTTACATATAGGAACATCATTATAACAACTTTTGAACGGGAAATAAAAATTCATACAGATTATGGAAACATGCGACCAGTCATTGTTTTTACAAGAGCCTCGCCACGTAGCCTCTAGTAAGGTAGAAAATGAAGCCAAGTATATATATTTTTCTTTATATATATGTATATAGATCCCTCCTAAAACAACCTAAAACCTAACCTACTTACTTTGCATAGAGTTCATTTTTAATTGTACATACAGACACTGATGTTATATATGTACAGACATGTACACATCTTATGTACATATAGCTATTTTAATGATCATTGAAGTTGAATATTATTTAATAAATGTACTCTATTCTCTCTGTATCTGTGTGTTGGGTGTGCGTATGTATAATATGTATGTATGGGCGTATGTATAATCATTATTTTACATTCAGTATCGGCGACGCAGGAAACGCCTCTGAAGTGAAACTTGAACAACGTCCTTCCTAGAGAATTATTTGTCTAAGCTAAAACGAGTTCTTTTCAATTACATCAATTTGTGTTTATACATATTTATATTTATATATATTTATATTCATATATCGTATATATTAAAATTTTTATTCAATTGTATACTATTAATCTACTAAGTAACAGAGGTAAAGAAATTAAGGAGTTTCAACAAATCTACGTACGCGTGATATAAGACCCACTTATTTTTCATCAAATTTTAGATATGCTAATGATATTTAAACTAAATGTAACTAGAGCGAACGTGCAACAAGTTGTTACATTACAATCCAGGATCCGTTTAACGAATGCAATTTATCTCATTATGTCATCGGTGTTTATTGAAATTAAATGCTATTAATGTTGAATACATAATTTTTATTCAAATAAAATAGTAGTAATAATGTTCCATAATTTCAAGCAATCACAAAAATCGTAAATTAAAGTAAGTTAAAGACTTCTTATCGAAATTTTGATTAATAACGGCTTCATGTAAACTGATCCCGGTTGTAATTGAAAGAGAAAACAACCTAAAACATTACAAAAAAAGAAGAATTGTGAAAGGGTAACAGGTAACAGTATTGTGGCACAATCTGGGAACATTTTCACGTGCATAATAAATAGGTACACTGAAATCGCGTTTAATCGTTAGAGCGCTTATTGTAGGTGCACGTCAATCTCTTTCAGTTTTGTTGATTCAGCACTCATTGTGGCGAAAATACGTTTTCGCGCATCTATTTATCGAGTTGTGTTTGATTTTTTTCTAGGCCATGTTCGTTAAACGATCGCGTTTTACCTTTTGTCTTCAACAAAACGCAAAGTCTGTACGTTCGCTTCATCTTTCAGTGACAGTAACCGTTTTTCATTTTCTCTTACACTGATGCCGGCATCTCGTCTTCCACGCTGAGGAAGATGTTTACGATCGGTACCCTGTCTCCTTGTTGAACAGAGCTCGAATTATGATTGCATAGTTGAATACCTTCTATCACTGCGCCATTAAACCCTACGAGTTTTACAACTCTTCGTGCTTAGTTTCCATTAACGATAGACGTTGTCTTTTTTTTTTTCCTGAACGGCCGATTCCGATACATATTCTTCCGCATGAGTCTCGTAAATTCAATTAGTCCATCTGACTGGATAAACTTACCAGTCACGCTCTCTCGCACAGTTTCGTATATATAGGGGAGACATTCGCGTTTTCGAAACTATCTTGGAAGTTTACTCACGCAACCTGCACCCATTTTGTGAGCAAAGGTCTCGTAAAAAGATATTCCCGCAATGTAACGATTGTGCGACGATCGTTTAGAGCCTATGTGTACCACGCGCGACCATATTACTTTCTTACAGTACCATTACAGCCTTCGTTAAGGTAGCTTAAGTTTAATTACTTGGATCCTGTCCTATGGGGGCCTCGTCGGATTATGGCATAAATGTGCTGTATTTTTGGCGCTGCTGTCACTGATACTCGCGGGCAGTTGTTGCTGCTGCTGTTGTTGTTGATGGTCTTGAGCTTGCGGCGTAGCATTGTCTGGCTGTTGCTGCTGCTGTTGTTGACAACTTTGCTGCGATGGCATTGGCTGCTGTAGCTGTTGCGCTTTCGACGATTGTTGCGTGGGTCGCTTAGATTCTTGACCCGTTGAATCGGGCAAGGGTATTGGCCTGTGGGATTTCATGTGCGCACTTCTGCTTTTCACTTTGTTGAAAACTCTGAAAGAAAAGTATAATTGAAATGTCAAGCGAGCTGTCGAGGAGTTAGATTGGACGAAACGTGAATAGAATCTAGCGTTGCGAGATCTGCACGCTCCCGTAAAATTGTTATGAAATTCGTGTCAATAATTAGGAAATCGCAGAAAATAATGCAGATATATGTAGAAATGATTGAACTTTAAATTTGTACACATTCAGAAACATTTCGTTCCGCAAGCGTTAGATTATGTCTTCATTTAGACACTTATAGTGTGTAGTTTAGTAAGTTCACATATATTTAACACATAATGTAAGAAGTCAGAAATATCGACAAAGCAACAGCAGTCTAACAAATCATGCTTGCGTTATGCGTTTGAATTTAATTATATATAACATACCATATAGCCAATTTATACATATATTTTTATTTGGAAAGTGAAACATAGAGAAATACAATTGGGAGAACATAGGCAGCAAATTAAAATAATTGTAGAATATAAGAATATGTGCCAGGCATATTAAAAAAAAAAATTAAATGATTAATGAAAATCGCCAATGGCAAAAAATAGATTAAAAATGTTATATTTAAATTGAATTCAGCAGTTTACTTAAATATCAAACAAAAATTAATATATCGTACAATAAATCATTGTCATATTTATTCATTAAAAATATTCAGTTTTTTTCAGTAAATCGTGATGTATATCGTGAATGGCGTCTGTGTAGTTTTCTAAAAATGTATTATATGTATTTTATCATAAAGAGAAAAAAAATCAGTTTTATTATATAAGTTATATACAGGGTCGATTTTATTTCTCAAAATATTCAGAGATGCAATTGTTTAATTGCACTCCTGTTTTCGTGTACATGTCAAAATATATGTTATTTCTTCATTTTCAAAACATGTATTTTGCTGTTGCGTTGACTCGCTTAAAATTATTTTTATTTTTATTATTACGAGTCATTTGACGAAAGTATATACATGTGGTATATGTATGGAATTCTGAAACTATATAGCTGGCATCGGTCCGCTATATTTGTCTTTAGATCATATGCAGAAAGGCAACTCTGTCCCTCTACAAGCAAGGATATCTATGTGAGATGCGCCAATACTTGCCGCTTATATTGCCGTTAGAGCACGAGCTCCGCCGTCAATTATTGGAAATGGATAATTTAGATTAGAGATTGGAGACTTACTTCCCGCAAATCTTGCAGGGGTAGTGAAGTGGGGTGGGCACGGGTAGTTGTTGCTCAGAACTAGTGTGAGTTTGTGAGTTGGTGTTGACTGTGGCGTGGCCGGTATTGCCGATTTGGGCGGTTTGGGTGCTTCCGGCCGTTACTGTTACACTTCCGCTAAAGCTCTGACAACACAAAGAAAACACAAAGCCAAAATAAACAACACAAACAAACGACAACGGCGACGACAGATAAGTAACGTAACAGTCACACAACGCACAACATCCTCGAGTCTCTTAAAATAAAGCGTGAGAAAATGACGGATCAGCAATCAATCTCATGCGACACTTAAATCTCCACACGTATGTACGTGTGTAAGATATTTCAGACACACCGAGTACGAAAATTGTTAAATAAAGTAGTTAATATTAAGCAGTATTTTGCAAAGGTACAAAATTATTCTTTTACGTTAAGAAATATATATCGAGATGTAATGCATATAAAAAGAATTCGTACTCGGCGTACGTGAAGAAGTAGGATATGCGGTGAGCAGCAGACATAGAAATAATTTATGTGAATGTATATTTTTTTCTTTGAAGTTATATATTTTTTTCTTGAAGTTATATTCGCATGTTTCATAATATTATGATATTGCAATAATGTATTGCCTAATTGCGAAGATTTGAATTTATCTTCAAGTTAATTTAAAAACTTTGAATAGCTATTAGTATATAGTATTAGGAGTATATAGTATTAGATACGTGATTTTCGTGTAACTAATTGTAAGATCGTATACAAGATGTTCGTATAATAAGAAATATTATTACTTACATCTGTGCAGTCGTATGCGAATAACCTTAGCTCTCCTTCGCTGGTGGTCAGAGTCGCCGAATTTTCTCTTTCGTTTGTTTGTAGCTAAATCGACAGAAAGGTAAAGATAACATCTTTTTATACTCACATTTACGCGCTTACGCAATTTTACCATAGTAATTTTGGCATGGTTATTTAAGCAGAAAATGACTGAGTACATACACTTGATCTTACCAGTGTACGATGAAGGATCGATTTGTCTTCACTAAAGTCCATTTCCGTCACGGACGCGATGGCGTCGCGTAGCTCTTTGGTATCTTTGCTATCTTTAATCTCGCTCTTGATCTTCGCTTTTCCATGACATATACGTAGCCTCTTGTACTCGTCGGGACAGAGCCTCTTCCAAAGGTAGTAGAACTGCACGCACTGTTTCGCGGTCTTGGCACCGACGTCCCGCGAAATCGCGGAGAAGTTCTTATTGTACTTGAGCAGTCCTTGATAGAACGCGTCCATTTCGTATGACGTCCATCTGTCGGACTCGTGGCACTCGTAGCTGAGCAAGGGATGATCCATAGGTAGCGTAGGCGTTGGTCGCATCAATTTTACCATTGCTTCCTGAAACATATGTAGAATGTGCGTAAATATCAACAATTTCTTTGGAGAAATAATAAAACGACCAAAAAGGTTCGAACAATTTTGATAATATAATATACATGCTTATACGAATTACAAAAATATTACAAAAAAATATCTTACATGAATATTCCCTTTGCACATGTGCAACAGATGAAGCGCATATTCCTTGTTTCTACCACCACCCGGCACCGCGGCGCAACACGCGAACTGCAGGTACATCTCCACTGCAAGCAATCGTTGCTTGTTATACATTTCGCCATATATCTTTTCAAGGTATTCGCGGAAGAGAAACTTACGTTCGGTGTTCGTGAGCACGTTGTTTATGCCGGGATCCCACAGAAGATGATCGGCTTCGGGCCCGTCGTTTCCTCTGTCCCCATCGTACTCCACCGGAGGTATCGTAGCTTGATACCTCGTGCCGATGTTGATCCTCGGCGGTGGACCGTCATTCCCTTGAGAATCGTCCGAGCTGAAGTCCGAGTCTTTCTCGTGCTGATGCAATCTCGCGTACAGCCCCGGACCGGGACGAGATGGGTCTAGGATCGGTGGCGGGGTGTAGCTGCTGTCCCAGTGGCGATCGCAAGCCTTTCGCAATCGCGACGGATAAGAATGCGAACTGCTGGCGTACTGGCCGTTATCCATGCGCGGCCTCTTTCGACAGTGTCGCACCGGGCTGCTGGTGGGTAAACTGCCAGGACTGAGAAACACTTCCTCGTCCAGCAGCTCCTGCTTGATCTGCTCGATAGGTACCGGTAAACTTCCGGTGGCCGTTTTGTGTCTCAAGACATTGTTCTTCGTCGCGTGATTGGTTTGAACGAAAAACTTGGTCGGGTTGACGATTTGCTGTTGATTAAACTGTCCCGCGTTACACTGCTGTTGATTCGTCGTTTGAACGTTCAGGCCGAGGTTCACGGTCACGGGCTCGATTTTCGGTGTCGCTAGACGGATCTCCTTCTTGAATGTCAGCGCGGGACTGAGAGAACCCGCCTGCACGAACACATTCGCTTTCTGTAGACCCGCCGTCTGTATCAACTTGAACTCGCCGTTGTTGTCGAGGACGATGCCAGCTAGGCTGCCGTTTCCGAGACCGAAGTCCACCAAGTTCTGGCTCGTGATCAGCTTGTACGACTGGAACTCGAATCGCCTACGACCAGAGGCGGCGAAGTCCTTCGAGGTCGAAGAAAGCAAAGGATCCTCCGAGTTTGGCATCATCTGATTTTGAAATGCGTTATGCGGCGATACGGGAAAGCTCGTGCCTGTAAAGGCGACCGGTCCCGGCGACGAGACGGAGGACGGCGGCAGTGGCGACGGCGCCGACGTCGCCGACAACGGGCTTGGCAGTGGCGAGTGCGGATTTGGCGAACCGGACCCGTAGAGATCCGCATCTGCCTCGGATTCATCCGGTAGCACCTCGTTCAACGCCTCCTCCACGGCCGCAGCGGACGACATCGAAGTGGTGTAAAATGCCGCCGAGAGCGGCGACGATACGTGTCTCACGCTCTCCGGGTCCTCTTGGGGACTCAGCAACGGTAGACTTCCGGTGAGCAGGCCCTCCTGGCTGGCCGGTGGCGTCGGATATGTGAAACTCGGGCTGTCGTGTCGCGTTAGAGGCGACGGCAGAGGCGACTGGGTTGGTAACGTATGAGGACTTTCCGTATATTGCGCGGCGTAAGTACTGAATTCGGCCAGAGAGTCGGGCAGCGGCGAGTTCACCAGCGCTTGAAGATCTGGATTGACTGTGTGCTGCGAGGAATATCGGTCTTCCAACGTGATATCCTGCAGCTGTTCGGTAGATTGTTCTTGCAGCAGATTGGCCGTCTGAAACTGTGAATATGCACGGTGAAAATAGGAGTGCTGCTTTTTCGCTGCGTTCTACTTTCCACCTCACAGATGATACAAAAAGATCCTGAATTTTCATAAATAATTCCAAAAAAAAAAAAAAAAAGAAACATGATTTTCTCCACCTTTCTGTTTACTATACGCTTATTGGCTCGGAAGTAATACGAAGATCCTTTTGCATATAGAGCTACATTTGCATTGATTTTCGCGATGCAAATTGTAAGCAGAGTTGTTTACCTGAATCGAATCCAAATGGGTAGCGTGCAGGAGCACGCTATCAGGAACCGTTGTAACCTGCTGAAACACTTCGTCCTGCAGGCTTGGGCTGAAATAACCACCATCCTCGGCATATCCTGTCATCGTAAAGCTTTCCGTTACCACAGGTTGCGCTTGCGGCTGCTGGTTATTTGATGGCTGGTTGGTTGTCGCTGATTGCACGGGCTGCTGATAAGTCAAGTGTAATCTTTGTCCCGGATCGGAAGTTGTTCTCTTCACAGCCACTTTCGTATTACTCTGCGAGTTATTAGCGATATATTATGTGTATTTTTCTAAATTATTATATGTAATTATTAACAAACGTAATAATTAACGGATGTAATTATGACGTTACCAATCCGTGAAAAGCTTTTGATATATAATTTCGAAGGTCACAATCAAATGAGTGAAAAAAAAAAAATTGGCGACATTATACCTTCAGAATCCTGTCGGCAAGCGCTTGTGCTTCAGCTTGAGTTTTCGCTTCCTGCAACTGCTTCTGCACAGTCGTGTGACCACCCACGGTGATATTCGGCGGCCGAAAGTGTTCACCATCGGAAAACCGACGTACCTTCTCTCCCGCCGCCAAGGGCGGCGGAGCTGGTACCGCAAAACTCGTCTTGACGGCGATTTGCGAAACGGCGTCGGTCTGCGTGGTGAAGACGGTGGTATTCGTACGAGGCTGATTGCCATTCGCGTCCACTGCTAAAATATAAGTACATATTGTTCCAAACTTGATATTTGATTGCAGAAATCTAATTATCCTGGAAAACTTAACAAATATCAAATAACATTGATATGAATATGCGACTAATAGATTGTTACAATTAGGTGTTTATTTGACGGCCATTATATTCAGCAGCGAAAAATATTTATTACGCTTTCGCGCTTGACGAAAGAAAGCGATGTTTTCATTACGATCACATCATTTTATCTATTATTAGTTCTTGAAAAGCAGAAGCGCTTTTCTCTATAACGGCTGGCGGTAAACACACGATGTCTCTATATAGTTTGCTCTCGTGTTTCAGGTCGAGAATAAACACCGGGCGTGAGAGGTGTCTCTGAAGACTTCGTGTTTGCGACCGCGGAAGATGGATTGGTTCGTAAGATATTTTTCCTTTTTACTGAGAACGGCATAGTACGTGCGCGACGCCTCGCGTTTCCGAGCGGAATAAACAGAAAGACGGCGCGCGCGCGGACGACCATGAAACGGAAAGCGGAAAAAGCGGAGGAGAGCTTTTCCCGTATGCGTAAACGGGAGTGTATAGCGCGCTCGAAATAAAAGGAACTTTTGTCGCCCTTTTTTCCTCGATTCGCCCTTCACCCGACAATGGCGGCCGCGAATTGGTGCTCTCTTTCAGCCGCGATGCACGCGCCTCCTCCCCCCCCCCTCCTCCGCACACGTTGACGGTTTTTGTTTTCCCTTTGGCTTTACGTATATATAATTGAAGAGAGGAAAAAGAAATAAAGCGTAGAGAGGATTGGCTGAAGCAACAACATACGTCGTATATACGGGCGCGCTCCCTCCGTCCGCGCAATAAAAATTTTTCGGTACGTTGTATCTCTAAAAATAACAATATTTAAATTTCAAAAAAGTGTGCGTGCTGGTACGTCACGGCATATTCTGAGAACGGTGGGTTTGCTGGAATAACTACATTTAAATTTCAAAAAGCGCTCATGCCGTTCCGGTTATAATGTATTCCGTGGTCCGACGGACTGAGTCAATTTTTACGAAAGCGCACGGATGACAGAGTATTATAACTGAGCAGACATGAAATACATTCAGTCGACATGTCGCGACGAATATGTGGAAAAAAAATATTAGTGAGCTTTTCGATCATAATCAGGATCATTGATCAGGAATATTTGGGGAGATGTAAAAGTTCATATTCCCTTTCCACTAATAGAATGAAAGAATGGATACGACATATATACATTTTTTAATTAACCAAAGTATTACATGAGAGATTCACATCTTTCTATGGATTTAATTTTCGATTTCGGACGATGAGAGAAAATTCAATAGTCTCAAATAATTTCTGAATGTAACGGGGGAGAAAACAAATGTTGTATTTTACTTTTATAAACCACGTATTTTATTTAATTTATTAAGACTGCGAAAGATCAATGAAATATTTTGCCATTTATTTAAACCGAAGCAGAGAATCCGCAACTCTTCACTTCGCACTTGGCGCTCTACCGTGCGCCGCAATAAATATTCCACCGCCGCTGAAATCGCAGCACAGTGAAAAATATATTCTATAGCGTGCACAATCGTTCATGGTAGCCGTACAACTCGACGGAAATAAATGCGTGCATATCCTGGCCGCCGCGGGGGGCGAAAGGAGGAAATGGGATTCGCCGAGTGTACAGCTGTATCGCGACGAAACTTTTCCACGACGATTTCATGAATATCTGGCCTCCGTTCTGGCTTCGAGCCGGCTCTTTTCATATTACTTTTTTTTTTGGCCATTATATCGTGCATCGCGGTCCACTATATCCTATAGTTTTATTCACACGTAGCGTATAATTACAAGCCTCAGGTGATTTCTTGTGAGAGCACTATAAATTTTTTACGCGACCGCGCGATGTTGCAACAAAATACGTCTTTCATAAATTTATGAAAGATTACTTTTAATTTCGTCTCAAGCACAGTAACATGAATTTGAAAAAACTTTAAAAGATAGATTTTCTCATTTATGTGAAACAAAGAACAACTACTACTCTTCAACTCGTAAAAAACGCAACGGGGCTTGTCCGGTTTTATCGATCGTCACGTGAAAGGCATGCGAGACTTATACATTTGCATAAACCGCAAATTCCGTGACGTACGTGTGACAGCGTATCGGCACACACTGGCGCGAGACCGTGTGATATTTTTACAAATTGCCAATCATCGATCGCGGCGAGGCAAATTGCTTCCAACGAGGCAGTTGCGCGGGCCTGTCTCCGGCCTGTCCTATCCGCACTTCGAATGGAAATTGTTGTGGTCGATGCAGCAGTAGCAGCAGCAGCTGTCGCGAAAAAGCCGATAGAACAAAGCAAAGATTCGTTTGCGCTGATAATCCACATGTCTATATTTGACATTTTTTTTAATATGGGCACACGTATTCGAAATCACGCACTTTTTTTTTTTTTTTTGATAAATCTTTCATCGAACCGAAAGTAAATTCTTTCCTAACGAAAATTTGATTAAATTCACGGCTTTCTGTATTTTTTTTCAATTTTAAACTACCTTGACGGCAAAAATTTTAATTAGTGTATCTTGTTATATTTATAATATATTTTAAACGTAATAATTAATAATTAAAATTATTAAGGATACATACGATTGTCGTAAAATAGATTACGATTGAGTTTATGTAATTATACTGAATACGCCCTTGTTGAGCATATATCTGCGAAGAACTAAATTGGACTGTCGAAAAACAATCGTCGTGGAATGTCACGGGTCTAATTATTTGTTTGATTTATCGCAATGATTGTTATCAAACACCCCTACGCGTTCTTTGGTGCACGGGAAACATCCGATAGATGATATTTTGCTGGGCGACCAGCACGACCGAGCGCGTTTCCCATCGATGTTCCATTCTCTCTCGTCCTCTCGCCAACCTTTTGTCAAAAATGTGCGCCAGCGCCGTTGCATCACCGACAACCAAACAACGATGCAACGCGCATTCCCGATGCATCGTCAGCGGCGCATCGCGCGACTAGCACGCTCCCGCCAGCAAATTATTTATCGATCGATCTTGTTGTACGGCCACTTTCGAGGCTTTCAAAAAATAATGGCCGGGCCAGCCAGCGGCCAGGTTAAATGACTGTCAACAATTCCCGGCGTGCCGATGGAAACGACGTTGTGTGAAGACAGCGGTTCCTATTGTACGCTGATTAATAACCCGCGGGTGATCGAATATTCATAGAATTTCCGAGTCCATCATATGCTGGTAGAATTCGAAAAGAAGTTTGCCCGTTTACCACGCGATCGTACAATGTCGCGTCCAACGATCGATCTATACTACTGCTTGAAACGGTGCCGTTTTCCGTACCCGTTTTAACTATCTCGCGCATGAATGAACAATTGCGCCCCCAGTTAAACATTACAAGTTCTATGCTGGTAAAAGAAAGTAATCTCGTTAAGAATCAAATCCAGATTTACATGGGAAATGCCGTGTGTGCTACATTAATTTCATCTCTCCCCGAATAAAGTACGTCGGAAAGTATATGTTACTGGATTAGTGTTTCCATTATTATAAATAGCAATGTGCGTTACGCATGAATTCTTCACTACCTCATGCGCAAATTCTCGACGCAGAATTAAAAAATCATTTCAAGTTAAACATCGGTAACGGCAGTCAATCTTTTCAGTACGAAATCGTTATATACTGAAAAGGAAACAAGCACTATGAATGTCATTTCTTCATAACTATAGGTAACATAAAAATACATTTGAAGAAATTTCAAGAATATTCTAGACAAATCTAATACTAAAATTACATTTTTTTTTTTAATTTCGAGAAGCAAAAATTTTGATTATATCACTCTATGTTAATAACGTTAAAATATGGATTTTTATGTTGACTTTCTTCTCAAAATTTTGGACTATTCGAAACCTAACGATCAGTGATTATCACACGTCCGCGAGGACATAATCGCATCTCGACGATTATTTTGTGCTTATTTCGGATTTACAATCGCCGAAAGGAGCAACGCAGAAGGCGCCGGGCCGGATAGCGGATCGTCCCTCGCTGTTCTTGGCAGATGCCGAGGCGAAATCGCGCATAAATCGCTAACGACGCGCACTTTGTTACAAAAGCATGGGCCTGGTGCCCGCCGGTCCGTTCTGCTACTGCCGCCGGCTTGATTTATCGCACCAACGTGGACAATGCGAGAAATATTCTGGCGTGTTCGCTTCGTAAATCACGGTTCTTCGGCAGTCCATACACCGTACCCCCATAGAGAGGAGGCACCCTCTTCCCCTCCGCGAAATATCACGGGGCGGCCCTCCCTCGTTCTGGCAAATGTACATGCACGCGCGCGAGGGAGAAACGGACGAACGGGAGGACGACGCAGTCGGGAGATACACAGTCGATTCGGGATACGTGCCCGTAAATCACGCCGGAATCGCATTCGTGGATTCTGTGTTCTCAGCATCGTCCGCCGGAACACTGTATTAATTCTTTTTTCCCCGCGGTTATGACACGTGTATACCTTCGGGATTCTAAACGGAACAATGACGTTGTCGCGGCCACTGCTTCTCTCTTGACCATATTGAGTCGCGAACAATGCGTCGCCGACGCGAAACGGGAGTATGATTTTATTTTCCATGGTAACTTTGCTATCGGCGTCATGATCGATATGTTATGTCATTGCATCATTACAAAAAAATGCAATAATTTATCATTGACAAAATTATTTTCGACCGTTCTCTCGTCTTACCTGTCGTTCTCTTCTGTATGATTTTCTCCTCGATGAGCGCTCTCACGCTGACGGATGCCGTCTGCAGAGGCGGCCCAACGACCTCTTTCTTCTCGCTCTTCTTGTTCTCCGCGTCCTGTAACACGCGATAAAAACAGAAACGTCGTCAAATCAAGTCGAACAGGCTGTTAGTTCGTCGCGCGATAAAAATCGAACACTAGAAAGTGTTACTCTAAACGCATAAATTTTCCGCGTTGCTTTTGAGATTTTCTATATCTAAAAATAGACTAGCTTCATTAAGGAATGAAAAAAATCGCGTAAATCTTCGATATTTCGCCGTCGCGAAATATTTGGGCGGGTATATTGGGTATTTTGCCGACTGATCGTGGTCGAATAATAAAGCTGGATCTTATTGGTCGCGCGTGGCGGTAGGATTTCGCCTGAGCTCATCTAGGACTCGTAGTTTAGCCAGAATCCTCGTTGAACCCGGCCACGAAGGACTCGTGACGGGAGAACCTGGATTAGAAGCTCAAATCACGGGCAAATTGACGCGCAGGATACTAAGGGGAAGGACGTAGGGAGACTACAATGGTGAATAGGAGAAGCAGGGGTCGGCGGGAGGGACCGGAGATGCACGCTAATCACTGAGCAAGGCTAATTGAGGCGCCCGTTGGATTATATCGTAATGGAATCTCCGGCGTGTGCGATTCAACATCCTGTAATACACCCGGCGCTAAGGAAAGTGCCCTGCCTATAGTTCCTTGGTGCTTGCCAGAAGAATCAAATCAGTGTCTTGATTAGCTTCGACTCCCATTTGCTCAATATACCGTGCTGATAAAACTGTATTTTTCATTTTTTAATATAGCTTAATCGCGTGCGTCGAAGGTATCGTTTAAGTAAAGAATATATGAAACACATTTTACAAGAATTGTGAAAAACATTCTTCACATTCTTAACAATTTTTTGCTAATCTTAAACTTCTTATTTTTATCTCGTATTTATGATTAATACTTTCTGATTATACGATACTTTGATACATTGTATTCTGTTCATTATCAAGATAATATTTCCTTTTTCAATGCTTTTAAAAGCCCTCAACTGTTCAATGTGCTTCATAGCATTTCCAAGACGATATAATAAATTTTTTTATCCATCTACGCTGCAATATCGATCGACCAATTGAAAGAGCGATTTACAAAAAAAAAAACGCAATACACTGACGACACAATAGCATCTCGCTATCGCTGACTTATCATCATCGTATCGATTTATTATTATCCTCAAAGTACTAGCTTCGCAAAAACCCTCCCGTTCCACATCCCGCAAGATATATAAAGCCGTTCTCGGCCGCGAACTTACCTTCGCCGCGAGCTACGGAGGCCCTACTTCCTAACTCACTAAACGCGGGAATTCCTTAAAGCGTAATTTTTTTCCTAAGGCGCCCGCGTGTAAAAGTTATATTACTTTCCAGTATATATACGCACGTCGTGCAAGTGGACCCCGCGACTTGTCCCCGCGATACGCGCGCGCGAGCAGAGTTATAGAGAGATCGCTCTGCCCATCCCCAAGCATTTACCCATACCGATCTCTCCGCGAGAGTTTCGGGATACGTTTATAATTAGCATACTAATACCATCGAGGGTGCTTCATGCGCATGCATCTTCCGCGCCTGCGACCCGCCCTTAGTGACCGGCGCCGATAATATATCTCTCTGGATACATATGTCATCATCGTCATCTTCGTCGAGCCTTAATGGGACGGACGGCGCGGCGCGGCGGCCCGGTCGTCATTGGCGCGGCCCTCAATTTCCTATCTCCTACTTCGATACGTGTGTAACGCGGCGCACTTACGCACCCGCAGCTCGCGTATATATCACGCCTCCCACGAAATTGAACTCTGTCTTTGACGGGGCGTACATCGTTCCGCTCGCTTCATGAATATTGATCGGCGGCCGTTAATACGCGGAATTGATTGCGGAACGTCCGCCATGCCGCGCCGCGCCGCGCCGATCCCGAACTCATCAATTCGATCTGTGTCGATTCCAGCTACCGGAATTATCTCCAGCGACCGCCATTGTCCGTGATTAGACCCTCGTGAGTTCTTCGGTGCGACGCTTCTTCTTACGAATTACTTTTATGCTCCGCGAAAGGAGTGTAACTATTGCGGACAGAGATTTATTTAGTCCATCAGCACTTTCTTTCATGACTGATCGATTTAATTTAATTTCGAATTATTTTTACGTTTCTGTAAAAACCATCTCGTACCTACAGCTATGGAAAAAGACGTATCTATCGACTCGGCGTTTTTATCTCGATTGGTCAATATATCTATCAGTATTCTATTTTACGATCGCAAGTAATACAATTCAGAGAGGAAGCACGTAGACTATGTCTTAGAGCACGATTACAAAGGGGCGATTAATGAACGATGCTGCCGGAGTCCTGCGCGGCTATTTCCGATATTTCTTGTTCTTATCTCGGCCACGTGGGGGCATCGATCAATCGACAATCCATGGCGCGCTTACGCTTTCCGACAATTCCTACCTCCAGACGATCAATCGTGCTGCACGTCAACTACTTACAGAAAATAAATCTGAAACGCGTCGGCGCAGATTTATTGCTGACGATTTATCGCTCCGAAAAATCATTCGTCACGCGACGGTACAATGTAATGAAAAACGGCCATATCGACGCGTAGGGGAAGGGGGGGGGGTCCGGGAGTCGCGTGCGCGGCATATGCGGGCAATTTCTTCGAAAATACAACGAATTACACGCCGTAATTTGCCCTAAAGCCCCGCAACTACATGTCTATCTGCGGGCTCGCGGACCCCCCGGAAAGAGAAGCGCGTCCCCGCGCGCGCGGGGATTAACAGCAGCTGCCACTTAACGAACCTGAACGCGGTCACTAACTCCTCTCACCGCGGACACGCGCTCTGAACAACAACTAACGCGGTTTCACGATGGACGAGACTCGCCTGCCTATAACTTGATGAGTTTTCCTGTGTTTCGCTCCTCTCACCTTCCCGCGTACCCCGCCATCCCTCTTCCCGCGACGTGCATTAATCTGGCTATGTATATCCACGTATCCGAAGGGCCATCGAAACTTTTCAATAATTCCGTGCGACCGGGCAAAAAGCTCGGGCCACGGGAAGTTGGGCTGCTGGCTGCCGGATAGAGCTTTCGCGGTAGCGCGACGCCCGTTTTGGTCGAACATGGACGGGGCGAATACGCGGAGAAAGGAGAGGAGAAACGAACGGGGGAGTTCGAGAGGGTGGACGCAGGGCAGGAGGCGGAGGCGTATCGCGGTGAAAACTCGGGTGCTCGAAACGAGAGCAGCGCCGTTGAAAACCCCGACCGTAACCAGTCAGATTCAATCTGCATAATGGAGAAAGCTCGAGACAATGTTTGCACGGGGCTCTCCGCACGTGCTACGGTTCCCTCCTTCGTCTCTCTTTCTCTCTTTTTTTCTCTCTCTCTCTTCTTCGGGCCGTTGAATCGTGTCTTTCTCTCTCATCTCTCTCGTTCTTCTTCTCTTTTCCATCCCCGAGAACGACGGACTCGCTGCGGATTGGTCCGGGGTTCGGGTGGAACCAAAGAGCTTGTTAATGGGTTCATTTGGATTCGATCATCGCCTTACCTTTCCCATCCACCGATGGGTACGTCTCCCTCGTTCGTCCGCGTTTTATCTCGTCTTCGTTGATTTACTCGTCCTCGTACCCGTCCTCATTCCAATCTTTACTCTATCGAGTCGTTACTGAGCGCGGTTCTTCTCATCCGCCATCGCTTACGTAGAGGTGAATGAAATAAGGAGAGAGGAAACGAGTCACCGAGAGCAACCGACGACGGAAGGTTAGGCGGTCGTTAAAAACGTTGATTGGAAAATTAATTCGACGTATTTGTCAAGATTGTACAGGAGTGTGAACGATGAAGGGAAAGTAGCTTCGGAATTTGATAAGAACTGAATGTTGAACGTGCATGAAGATTTGGAATAAGTCATTAAATATTTATTTAGACATGACAATAGATATTTCTTTCGCATCCTTAAAGGAAGTTTTTGAATTCACTTAATTCGCTTTTTTTTCTTTGTATTAACGTATTTATAAGTATAAATTTGATGTACATATTTGTACATGTTAAACACTGATTTTTCTTCTAATTTCTCAAACTTTTATATTTTCGCAATTATGTAATAAAATCTATGGGTTAGAAAAAGGTCCCGATTTATGCGTGGCGATTCAATATGTCGATGATTATAATTCTTCTTGCCTTTTAATGCCGTCTGCCAGATCGGTTTATTCCCACCCATTCCGCAGTACCGATTACGTCATCGTCTTTCAATTGCAGAATAAAGAACATCTCCAGTCCGCCATTCACTTCCTCCCCACGCCTACCACCCGGAATCGAGCGAAAAAGGGGAAACTTTTGTCCGACGAGTTTTTCAGCACTTTTCTAAACGACGCGGCCTTCGTTAAGACATTTTTAATCAGCGAGCGAAGAGCTGCGAAGAGGCGGAGGGGAGAAAGGACTTTCGCGAAATCGCTGATCTTTCTATTTCAACGGCTGCAACAACCCTCTTACCCCCTGACCTTATTAAGAACACCACTGTTCGTATCCTCCTCCGTCTAGGGATAGAAGAAGAGATGGGAAGAGGTGTGGACGCGCGGGAAGGGGAAAGTGTGTGCTGAAGTCGCGCGAATCTCCGGGGGCGATTTCCGCGGTCTCTTATATCACTTTTTACTTCTTTTTGCACTCTTCGCCGCGACGATTATCACCTCGAGGATGCATCCTAAAGTATCGCGCTCCTCGAGGCCCCAAGACGGCGGCGGTGGTTGCGGCTTGATGAGATTTTCATAGAAACGCCGGTTGATTATTCGGATGCAACGCGCGCTCGCGCGAATTCGCGCGATTGCGAATTCATATGGTGATGCAACCGTCGGCGCGGTATAACTTTGGAACCGTGCGCGGAGATTTTCTCGAATATTAAAGTTTTCGCGCCGAAAATGAAGTTTGGACGACGCGGTCGGGCGGATGCAAATGAAATCAGCCGCCGCGAGATGAGTTCCTTTATCCTGCAGAAGAAATGGCTGCGACCGAAAGGAAGTGCCAAGATCATACAACGTATGATCTTACGTCGTTACATCACACCTCGCGATGAAGTTTAAAGACAACGTTTTTTTTATAATTGTAGTGAAATCGCCATCCGGCATACACCGTTGTTTCCTCAGAAAGAGACATTTAATTTTTCTTCAATAAAATAAGATGTAGACAAATTTATTTTGTAATTTTGTTTAATATGTCGGATATGTCGGATGGGGATGTAGCTAATAACGCATACGCTTAACTCTAATTATTTTATTCTGTGTAGGATTGGAAATGCATTATATATGTTTTGATCCCGCTTCATAATCGCTACTCTTAAAAGCGTAGCAAACGGCATAAATTAGGAGATAAAACGTTGTTGGAATATTTTAGTGCGCCAGGCTTGCTTCTTATTAAGCTCTTAGCTCTATTCGCATAAATATGTGAACAAACGCTTCTTTTCGAGCGTCAATCTTATCAAATATTTACCTTTTTGAAGTAACCGCCGTGGAGTCTCATATGGCCATTAAGGGCCGGTATGTTTTTAAATTTTCGATGGCACAGATTGCACTCCACCGGTTTCAGTTCCGTTTGGGACTTGTTGGGAGTCGCGACTGTACCGGGAGAAGACGAATTTCCGGGAGACGGACTGCCCTTCCCTACATTTCCGTTTCCCGGTGAGCCGACCTGCTGTTGCTGTTGCTGCTGCTGCTGCGCCTGCTGCTGCGCTTGCTGCTGTTGTTGCTGCAAGCAAGAAATAAATTCATTTTTAAATACATCAAGATTTAAGAAAATATTAAAATATTTGTAATTACAGAGTCTCAAATACCTATCTTAAAATATTAAGAAATATATTATTATTTTGATGCATTTAAAGTGAACGTTTTTTTTTAAGATATAAGAATTAAAATTGCAATTATTTAATATTAAATAATAAACGATTTATATAAAGGGACGCAGCAACAGATGTCGCATATAATTGCTGATGTACTCAATCCTGTATTTCTACAAGAGAGAGAAGAGCGTTTATAAAATATTCGCAACGTAACGACCTCATTATTTCCGACGGTGGCACATAACGAGTAAAGACCAGAATAAGCGTAAGACCAAGAATAATTGAACAAAGGGAGAATTTCCTTTATGGTAGCTTCTTCCTTTATGGCGCGCCCTACATCTGGCTTAATGCCCCTCTTCTTCCGAAGTCGCGGAAGATTTTTAACGGTAACGCACGAAGCTTTCCGCCTTCCGGTGTTTCTCCGTTTCGTTCTTCGTCGAGGACCACTTCGTATTTCGCGAGGGGCGAGGGGGAGGGGGAAAGAACAAAATTCCATCTGAGGGGAGGGGGAAGACGAGCTATAGCGTAGCACGCGTAACACTAATACGACTATGTAGCACGCGAAAGTTGCCGTTCTCTGCCCGCCGGTTAAGCCCTCTTGAGGGCCGAGAGAACCGTTTCTCTTCCACCTCCTTCGGAGCCTTGTATAAACTCCGCAACTTCGTAAGCGCGTAAGAGGGAATAGAGATGGGAGAATTGCTAACTACAGATCGGAGAACGTTGCACGCCCGCTGCACAATTTGCATCGCTTCCAGGCGATACGACGATCGTCCGGGGACGCGAGATACGGCGCGCGCGAAGCCCTGACTTCTGTATTATAACATATTATAACTTCGCTTTTGTGTTTTAGAGCTAGATCTTAAGGCTCTTCTCTAAAGCGCTGTGCATGGCGTTCTAGATTTTACAGCAATACGTGTTGATTTCTATAGCATAACTATGAGACGCGCGCTTCTCAATAGTCTTGCTTTCAAAATTATGAATAGTCGACTTTTTTCAGCTATAAGTTTTCACTTACAAAAATGCAGGTATTAGGTTTTATTTTATTATTTAAATTTTATTTTAAGAACACATTAAATAAAATATTCTAGAATAAGATTCATATTTTGCAAGATGCACGAGTAAATTCACATTTTGGCATAAGCTTTTTTTTTTTATAATTTTTCATCATATTACACTGCATTTTCTATTTTACACTATCGTTAATAACAGAAAAAAATTATTAAAAAATTAAAAATTCTATAGCCTATATTGAGACTTATGAACACGATATTCGTAATATTCGTGATATATTTGTCACGAATATCAAATTGACTTTCAAGATCCATCCATTGAACCATATGTCTTAAAACTGGTTTTTAGTTCAGTCCCTCGGTAGAGACGCAACTATAAATACCGGTCTTAGAGACGCGGGATTGCATCGCATGTACATATTCTCTTTCTCGCCTTCGTACCGCTCGCTAGGATAGCGTGTGCTCCCTTCACGAGGGCTTACTTCCTCTACGCCTCCTTTTGCGGCGTGCAAAACTCCTGTCGTATAAGTTCGAGAATTGCTGCGAGAAGAGCGAAGTTGCGCTTCCTCTTCCATCAAGCCTCCCGGAAGAGTCGGGAATTCTAAGCTTAGTCGTAAGTACATATTCGATGCTGCCGCGAGGCATGTCTGGATAAGAGCTTTGGAAATTTAATAACTGTAAGTAGATCCAATACTCGATATCTCCTGCGGAAGGAACTTAAGGGGTCGCGCGTTTAAAGCGCGGAAGCAATACAGCTAATATTTAGAATAAATTACGCTTTGCATAATATGGATAATGTGTGTTGCGATCCTTGTCTTATACTATTTTACATTAAAATCACATACATCGACATACATTTGGTTGGCCAATCTGCCGTTTTCAAGACGTTCGCTCGCGTTCAAATCCATTTTTCTCCTTTTGATCTGCAAATGAAGTCGCACACGTGCATCGTACGTGAGAGGCATTCGGCAGTACGAAAGAACAAGATGCTACATATAGGTACGTGCGCGCGACTAGTCTTCATATCTGACCCTTCTCCATTTCTCACCCTTCTTTGCTCAATAACAGCGAAACGTTATTCAGTCTTAACTACCTCTTCTTGCTGAAAGCGATTTACCATCGCATTTGCTTCCTAGAGAAAATCTAACTTGAAACTATTGATGCTATTAAAAATTTAGAGACGAGTTTTACCAACTCGCACATTTGAATTATAATTTGAGAACTCCGCGCAATCGATATACTACTTTTTTGTTTATAGAAATGCAATCTTTATACAGATATTTTTATGCGAAATCTTTTATAAAAAGCTCCGGAAAGTTTTCATACAGAATTATAAAATACTGTATAGAGGAGAAGCCTTTCATATCTTTTATAAATCTTTGTAGCAAATATCGCGAGCTTAATATATATCGCTCAGCAGCCTTTTATCACTTAGAGAAAAAGGAACGTATTTCCGGTCAATGAACAAACGTATTTCGCGAAAGAAAGGATCGCAAAGGCAGAGAGGAGCGTGAAAGAATAACAGTGGATGTCTTCATAGAGGTGGATCACCCATAGCGCGAACCGCGTAATTACATGAAAAAGAAATACAAGGCGTCGCGATGGTAATCGAAGGACGTTCTGCGGTCGTGACTTTTCATTGGTCGCATTTTTCACGTGATATTGTTGATGGATACGCGTGCATTCCGTTGTCCGGTCGAGGAAAAAACGTCGAATTGCGAAAAAGCTTTTGACTGCACACGCAAATGGGTACAGCTTCACGGATGAGAGTACCGGATGATCGACGTTGCAATGCGATTGCCTTGGGGGAAATACGATCGATTGACATATTAGTTGTTTAACAGCTTTGATAGATTCTACACGTCGTTCATATCTGAGAAATTTTGCAAAAGTAAATTCCGTTGCGTTATTAAATTCTCTATCGTCTGTGCGTTTCTTTCAGTGCAGCAGCGTAATATAAATGCTAAAGCATAGTTCTTACAGCATAATATATCACATTGGGCTGGATTCCAAGTGCTAAGGATTAATCCTTAACATTATCGAGCTTAATGTATTAAGCTTCAAACGTTCTCTCTAGCGAGTTTAAGGGATGCAAAGAGATACAAATGCGTAATCATTGACGTTTGCCAGCACCTCGCTCGTATTTGATTTTTTTTTTCCTTCGTTTATCATAACTTTACGTTAAAGTACTTAATTAAGGTTCGATGGTAATCGCGGCTCGTTCGTGGTACCGATGTGCAGCCTCCGCGAACGAGTTTAACTTAAAGTAGGCTCTTCCATGGAAGGCAGCTCCGACAAAATTGGTTTAATTCGCGCGTCGACGAGCGCGATTATACTCTCCTCGAACCAGCTGGTATTTCGCCTCGTTCAAAGTATGCCGTTGATAGATCGCGAGATAGCTATCGATCCTTCGCGCGTCGCCAGCGATCTACCATGTTCATCTTTCACGATACCGAAGTACTCGATCGCGGTAGATATCTCATCAATTTCTGCAAACAATCTTCGATCCCAACGAGATTCTAAATTTCGTTCGAAGCGAGAGAAGGAGCTTTCACGTCGTGTTAAGGCATGACAACGCGTCCATTTGCCGAGATACCTTCCGATCACAAATAAAATTCGTGTACGAATTCCCGCGATAAAAAACGAGAATTCACGAATTAAGAATATAACACACTTTTTAAATACGGAATTAGAGATTTATGTCGAGACGATATCGAAATCAATATTAAACTCGTATCGATAGAATAGACATTAATTAGATTCCGCATCTATAATTATATATCAGTCAGATCTTTTATTCCCCTTTTACATTTCCAACACGAATTCAAAGGCGATACATAATGATAAATGATGTGTAAAAATATCTGTGGCTTTGTTCCTTCTCGATTTGCCGCATTTCCATCGAATAGCGTGACTCAATTACTTGGGGATTAATGTGGAGTACGTGCTGAAAATGCAAAAGACGCTTTGCGTGGCAAATCCGCGATCACGACGTATTCCTTTTGCGTTCGCCATTAGCGTTGCTTCGATAGTTTAGCCGACGGAGACGCAATTGTCCCAAGAAGTGGCGCGAGGAGCGTCATTCCTCCTCCACCTTCCGTTTTGAGAGACATCGTAGCGCCGTTTCCCTCGGCAACGACTTAACCCGTTCAAGTACGGCCGGAGTAAAATTACGGCCCGTTTCCGGGCCGGTGGTCCGCATAGCGAGCGGAAATTCGGTGATTCCATTCGTCGCCGTCTTCGAGAGCCAGTTTAGATGTGACATTTGAGGCTTGACGCGAGAAAGGCAGCGATAGAGGATTTACTGTCGATTGATTATATATCGCAGCCGAGTTATGCGAAAGTGTCTGAAGCAAATAAAGTGTAAACCATCTTCAAATCGTCGAATTAAAGATGCAGCAGTAAGTAACAAGTAAAAGCATGCAGCAATATGAGAATATTAACTGCATGTCTATATACACATGTATAGAATTTTAAGTTACATCAATAACATAGATCAATTAAAGAACAACTTTCGCAAAAAACGTGAGAGGGCTATTTGTATTTTAAAATAAAAAGTTCTTAAAATAAATAATGATATAATACACATTGGAGAATAGGCACTTATACGAGCGCGAGAGAGAATAGGAGCGATCTAAGTGTCGGTGAATTGCGCGGGTGGATCGTTACTAGCGGCTTGCTCCTTGAGCCGGTATCTTGGCTGGTCCTGGCATGTATGATTAA